CCCCCTCAACACCCACACGCCAGCCCGCCGCGGTGGGGTAGGGGACGCCAAAAGGCAGGGAAAGGGTTTCCGGGCTCGGCCTCGGCTCGACCTCCGCCAGAGCAGATCGAAGCCCCCACCCCCATGCCCTCGTCTCTCCCCCTCCCCTCTCGTCCGCTTAGATTGTGATGTTTCTGGGTTGAAAGGAGTAAAAATGTTTTAAGAAAAAAAAAAAGTTTGGCCTCCTTGGTGGGGGGCGGGAGTGGGGCAGGGGCCTGGGGGGAGGCGAGGGGAGGGCCACACCTACGTCCCTTGGTGATCCCACGGTGGACGCCGGGACAAAGTCTGCGGGCCAGGGCAGAGCCACAGAAGCCTCAGGTTTCAAAGGGGCGGCGACCCAGGGAGGATCACGCAGCGAGGATCCGGCAGAGGCCCGCGAGAAGGCCCCAGCTAGGAGCGGAGTTGGGGCGGGAAGGGGGTGCTGGAGACCCGACCCCCTGGCAGGGGTGGGCGGGGCCTCGGGTGGGAGGCGGTGCCTAAGCCTCAGCGAAACTGCTCTCAGGTGAGCCCGGCTGCGCGGCGTCTCTCGTCTTGGGGTTCTTGGCACTGGCAAGAATGGGGCGGGGACGGGGGCACTAGCGCGCCCCAGCAGCTCTGAGTTTCTCTCCCAATTTGGGTAGGAGCTGAGGTTTCCCAAGGGAGACCCCGACATGGGGCCCCTTAGCCCTTCTATTCCAGAGCTACTTGTCTGGGGGGCCTCGGTAGGGCTTGGGGACCTGCACGCCCCCGTGAAATTTTGGGTAAAACTTAGCAGTTTGTGCCTGTGATGTGTTCCTGGGGTGCCCAGACCCAACAGAGGTAGAAATCAAGTCGTCCGTCACCAAAGAGACGCAGGTGCCCAGAGAAGACCATGAGTTGTTGAAGGTCATCCAACTCTGCCCAGGCCTTGACCAGGACTCTTTCCGTCAATGCCTAGTGGGCCTCGACCCCGCAGCTCCAGGAGAACCCCAACATGGAGCACTCACTGGTCCCGCTTGACCATATGCTCCCACCCAATGCCCCTCCCTCCCCAGAAGTTAATAGGAGCCTGAGGCCCACTTTTCAGCCTGATTGCAATGAGAGAGGCATCTACGTGGCCAGACCACCCCCACCCCCACCCCACCCCCCAGGTCACACCACTGTGGCAACTTGAGTTTAGGATCGCTTGGGGGCAGGTGTTGGAACTGGGAACTAATGTGTTATAAGGCCTGGCTGGGCACTCACTGGTGGGCCTGCAAGCCAGACGACTTGAGGGGGAGCGAGGTTTTCGTGGTGGGGAGCTTAGGAAGGGGTCCCCGAGGACACTGGGAGGGGTGGAAGCAGGAGAGGGCATCCTTATCTTTTTGCCCTCCCCAGCCATCAGCCCCCCTCCCCCACCCATGACGAGAACTAGGAGTCCAAAGTCTGCGCCAAGGTCAAAAAATTGATTGTTTTGCAGGGAGGGGACAGGAGTGAGACTGTGGAGGGATTTGCAGAGGAGGGCACAGCCACTCGTCCTCTAGCCTGGGCTGGGGGTTCCTATCTGGAAGGCTGGACTGAGGCCAGGACTGTGCCCCCACCCTTTCAGAGGGAGAAGAACGGCTTGGGCTCAGGCTGCCTGCCAGGGCTGATAAGGGGCCCTCTTGGGGTTCCCACAAACGGTTTATCACTGTGGGGGGAACAGCCTGCAGGGCTCAGGAGGGGGCACGAGCATGGAGCGACTTTGGGGTCTACTTCAGAGAACGGTAAGACCAAGTGGGGTTGGGGGGACCCTTTAGGCCTTCTCTCTGGGTCCTTCAGCCCCCTACCAAACCCCAAGGCTGGCGCCTCCCCTTCCCACCTCCGTCTCTCCCCTCCAGCTTGCCTCTCAGGACCCTTTCTCTTGCCTGGTGCTCCTCTGGCACTCCAGAGTCACTGTTGTGCCCAGATCCTGCCCCATCCCCCATGCCTCTTTCCCCAGTCTCATGCCCACCGTGCCCCCTGCAGCAAAGGTTGTCCCCACGACCCTCTCAGACCATCTACAAGCGTGTGCAGGGCACCCAGCAGTGGCGCCTGGAGGAGGAAGAGGAAGACAGGGAGGAGGGGGCTGAGCCAGCAGCCCACTTCTGCCCCATGGAGCTGAGGGGCCCTGACCTGGGCTCTCGAGCAGGGAGGCAAAACCTCGGACTCTGGGCAACAACAGGACGAAGGGCTGCCCCCTACCTGGTCCTGACAGCCCTGCTGATCTTCACTGGGGGTGAGAGTCTTCCCGCCCCCACCAGTGAAAGGCCTGGGTTGGGGGGATTTATGGAGTCCAGAGTGGAGCACAAGGAGAATCTCCATCTTGCCATCCCTCAGCTTTCCTTCTGGGCTATGTGGCCTTCCGAGGGTCCTGCCAGGCATGTGGGGATGACGTGTTGGTGGTCAGTGAGGACATAAACTATGAGCCGGGCCCGGACTCCCACCAGGGCACATTGTACTGGAGCGACCTCCAGGCCATGTTCCTGCGGCTCCTGGGGGAGGGGCACCTGGAGGACACCATCAGGTAAGGATTAGCCTGCCCCCTTCCCGGCCCTTGCAAATCCTCATCCACTCACTTGGACTCAGAGTCCTTTCCTCTCCTCCCAGGAACCTGATGTGGGGTCCCTTCTGAGTCCTTCCACTTGCCTCCCTGGCCTCCCTGTTTGATGGTCCTGGGAAGGATGTCAGGCATTTGGAGCTGAGGGGAGGGAGGGTGTTCCAGAGATAAGACAGCAGAGGGCTTGGGGTCTGAACGTGGCACTTGGGAGATGCGGGAGCTGACTGTCTGAGTGAGAGCAGAGGGGTCCAGTATCCAGACAGGAGGCGGGATGGATCCAGAAAAGTCCTGAATGCCACATCACGGAGCTTGGATTTTGACCTGCGACTGTGGTGAGCTTGGGGGGGGTGGGGAGGCACTGAGAAGGGACATTTTAAGGAATCAGAAAAAAAAACAAGCAAGCAAATGCATTTGTGAGCACAGACCATCCCCCTCCATCTGCATTATGAGAGATGCCAGCCAGACACAGACCTGCAGGCCTGCAGCCTGGAGCACAGCACAAGCAGGTCGGGGTTTCTCCTGTTTTGCTGAGGTCACTTTCCCCATTGGGAAGGAGCTGCCCAGGTAGGTCCAGAGAAGAGGTGGGGCCACCAGTAGCCCTCTCTTGGGTCAGGAATAGTGTTTCAGTGGATTCTCCTGGGTTTTCTAAGTAGAAGGTCACATAAGCTATAGACAGTGAGAGATACGTAGCTTTTTTCTCAATGCTTAGACACTTTATGTCATTTTCATTGCTTTATTTTATTAGAGAGGACATGAATTTTAAAAAAATGTAAAAGGTAATGATGACAGCAGATAGGCCTATCTCCTGACTTGCATAGGAATGTTTTTATGCAGCTTTGTTATTGAATGTGAACTTTGCTATAGACTGGATAGCTTTTTATAAATGAATCAAGGAAGTTTCCTTCTCCTCCACCTCCTCTTCCTCCCCTCCTCCTCCTCCTCCTTCTTCTTCTTTTAATGATCAGGAAAGGAGGGACAGGTTTGGATTTTTTTTTTTCAAATATTTTTCCAGAATATACTGAAATCATTTTTCTGCTTTAATTTGTGTCTGTATGTTTTTAGTTTATGTTTCTGTAGTAATTGGTATTGATAGACTTTCTTGTCTTCATGGGATCAATTTGAAACTTGATCGAGGCATATTATTACTCTTTGGCTACACTGCTGGGTCCACCTTGCCCAAGACCTTACATCTGTGGCATCAACAGCATACAGCCCTTCTTATTTTCTTGAGCAACACTCGGTCATCTGGGTACAGGCTGAGCAGGTGGATGGTTTGTCAGGTCCCACGGTGAGGTGTGGCACTGGGGATGCCATCAGAGGGCAGGGAGGCAAGAGGGTGATGGTGAAGGGGAGTGAGCAGTGAAGTGATGCACGACTCCAGGGTGGATGGAGAAGGAAGGAATGGAACTGTCTGGAGCACTCAGTGTGGTTGAAGAGCAGGCGTAGTGGGGGGTCAAGAAGCAAGCTGGAACCTGGAAAGATCTAGTCAGAGAGTGGGATATTGGGACTTTTAAGATTTATCTGATCAACTGTGTCCTATTTATCTGGATGTGTCCAGTACCTAGCACAGTGCCTGACATTTAGCTGGTGTTCAGTAAATCCCCAGTGGATAAAGATTCCGGAGATGGAATTCTGGGTAACGCCAAGACCAGTGGGGGTGTGGTGAGGGAAGTGAGCAGCTGGACTCAGTGACACTGATGAGGTCATTCATTCATTTATCCACCAAATACCTTTGAGCACCTACTATGTGGCAGGTGCTTGGCTAAGTAGGTGGGGGCGATAGGGCAGAGAACAAAAGTCTGGGCCTTGTCCTTATGGAGCTTACAGTCTATGGGGGGAAATCAATACTGAACTAATAATCACATTCACGACACATATTTATTACTAGGATCACTGTTTTGAAGGAAAAGTAAAGGATGTGGGGAATGAGTATAACGAGGGGGACCTGACTTAGAACGGGGGCCAGGGAAGGCTTCCTTGAGGAAGTGATGAGCTGAAGCCCTAGGGGTGAGTCATTCACCAGGCAAAGAGAAGGTGGAAAAGCATTTCAGGTCAGAGAACAGCAAGGGCAAATGGTCTGGGGTGGGAAATGGTGGCCTATTGGAGGAAGTGAAGGAAGGTCCATGTGGTTGTCTGAAGGAGAGCAGAGGGGTCCAGTATCCAGACAGGCAGTGGAACAGACCCAGAGAAGTCTTGAATGCCACATGATGGAGCTTGGATTTTGACCCATGACCCCGGGGAGCTGCAGTGTCAAGGTGGATATGGCCGGGGCCATAAAAGGGCTTAATGGCTACACAAACTGCTTTGGATTTTATTCTAAGAGGGAAGAGAGAAATGAAGAATTTAAAACACTAGAGAATCATGATCAGATGTAGGGGGAGGGTTTTGTTTTGTTTTGTTTTTTAAAGTCGGTGCAAAGAACAGAGTTTATGATACTCCTGACGCAGTAGTTCAGTGTCTCAGTGAAGGGCTTTTTTTGGTTTGGTTTTGTTTTTTAAAGATTTTATTTTTAAGTTATCTCCACACCCAAAGTGGGGCTCAAACTTACAACCCTGAGATCAGGAGTCACATGCTCCACTGACTGAGCCAGCCAGGCCACCCCTCCCCCATGAAGGGCTTTTTTATTTAATTTCCCTCCCTAGCCCTGAGCACTCTTTTCCATCCCCTCCCCCAGAAGCACCTCATCTGATGTTTGATGTGTGCCTTTAAATTCACACGTGGCTTTGCCATATATATAATGTTTTATGTGCATATGTAGATTTTTCAAAAACATTAATGTTTGTATAAAATCCTCTGTTCATTATTTTAAAAGTTAAGCCATATGGAAAAATATAAAGTGGAAAGTGTAAAAAAAAAAAAAGAAATCCAAGATGTATTACTCAGATATAGCTATCTTTAGTGTGTGTTTTTAATTTTGATAAACTTTTTTTTTTAACTTAACACAATATTTTCAAGGTCTGTCTGTATTGCAGTGTGTACATCAAATTTATTGTCAGGCACAGGAATCCACAGTGTGCATCATCCATTTTACGAACACCCTGACAGATGCAGTTTCTTTTTTTTTTTTATTCTTATGTTAATCCCCATACATTACATCATTAGTTTTAGATGAAGTGTTCCATGATTCATTATTTGTGCATAACACCCAGTGCTCCATGCAGAATGTGCCCTCCTCAATACCCATCACCAGGCTAACCCATCCTCCCACCCCCCTCCCCTCTA